TTACAAGCATGCTTTCAAATGTTCACTTTGGACAAATGAAGATAATATCGATAAATAATACACGTATTATTACTTTCATCTCACATATCGAGCAAATATTTTTTTTTCTTAGTTATTATGTGTCTCTCAGTGTATTGCATAATGTGTGTGATGTGGTAGATCCAAAAAACAATGAGCAACAATGTGGGGGATGTAATACAGTGCTCTTTGGAACAAGACCACATGGAGGGTGTGGAAGAGCACGAATGGGTAGGTTCATCATTTGTTGCTATGCAGTATTAATTATTTATTATTATATTTCTTGATTTGCTCTTCAATTATGCACCTTATTATACGTTTTTTTTATATTCAGTATATTACAAAATTGATGAAACAAAAAGGAAAGAAACAAACATGAGTTTATTCGAATATATTTTGCTTGCTATTCTTGAAGGAGACTTGTTACATTTTTCAATTGATTTATTTAGAAGTTATTATATTATATTAGTAATTAGTATTTTGGCTGTGCTATTTCTATGCTTTTTGTTTTATTTATTTATTTATTTATTAATTCCAATCTTATTCTTTGCTAATTCATTCTCTATAGTCTCTCTCATTTGATCCTTTTCATCAAAATGATTTATTATTTCAAAAAATACGTGATATTCTAGTATAATCGCACGAAATTATTTTTTTTATATTACAGGATGAGTAAGGATTAATGACGTACTGGTAGAGTATTTTAACTAAATGGTAAGATAGGATCTAGATATATAGAAATTTGAGCCATGAGTTATTAATTATGTTGAGAATGTGGAGGCAGGGAATGATGATGTCCTAATGTTACTACATGTTGGGACAGAAGAAGTTTTACATTTTTGAGAAATACTTCCAAAGATTTACCTTCTAAGAGCAAAATGAGACAAAACGGGGATGATGATGATGATGATGGTGTCCAATTTTTTATGTTTTAAACACTATTTACGTATTTTTTAGCCATTTTATATACGAACAATTTTATAAACATATAAACGTAAAAAAAAAGAAACTTTCGCTAAATAGTGTAAATATTCAGGCTTTGTATCTGAAGTTTAAAAAAGAAAATAGAAAACACGAAGAGAAAAAAAAAGACAAACAAAAAAAAAGTAATACGAAGGAAAAACCCGACTGAAATTTTATGAAAGTCACAAAATCTACACGAAACTTTTGTAAAACTCTTAAGGATTCTTAATATGGATTAATATTTCTGTTTTTTTTGTTTTTATTATTATTGTCTTTATTTTTATATTTTGTTTATTTATATATAAAAAATATATATATATATTATTATTATTATACATTCGTATAGGAAATGCGTGATGATACTTCTAGTCTTAAATAATTGTGCTTTTTTTTTATTTTATTTTATTTTATTTATATGTATCTCATGCTACATATATAATAATAATTATTATTATTATTAAAACAGTGTCATATGAATAAGAATATAATTAATTCGATTATTATAAAATAAATTGAGAAATTTTGTTAATTAGCGCGAGGGATGATTTTGAAAGAAAAAAGAAAAAGAAGAAGAAGTTTATGTGCAAATTTTATTATTCGCTAAACGCGTGATAGATCTTAACAAAAAAAAATCATATTATTAAAGTAAAATATTTAAAAAAAAAAAACAAGAAAAAAAAACAAAAAAAAAAGATATCGTTTAACATACACATTACATACACACACATCGTATATTATATTATCCTAAATGCAGAATGTGAAAGATATCGATTTAATAATTCTGTTGTATTTATATATTATATATATATTATATATATTATATATATAAGATTACTATAATTATGATGATTTAACTTATGATATGACCGATGAAACGAACGCGCAAAAAAAAATACGTGCCATTAATAAAAAAAAAGCCAAGAGAAAGATTAAACTTTCATCGTCTAGTGATAATAATTGAAAAAAAAAGAGAATAATAAAATAATAATAATAATAATAATAATTGTACCCTGGTGTTGCAAAATAGATATTAATTATCTTAGCCGATGCACACATTGGTATTGAAACAATAATTTTTCTAGGAAAATGCAATATAACATTTAAAATTAGGAAAAAAATTTAAAGAAAAAAAAAAAGATAAAAATTTATAACTATCACAGAGAATATTAACAAAAATAAAAATTAGAAAAAGAAAATGAAAGAAAATTTGCGTCAGGAGACTATGATATTGTCGTAAATTCCTTTTTAGCACGTTTTTTGCAACTTCGTACGAATAACGCACACAACACACACATAAACACATACATACGAAATATGTTTTAAGAATTAAAAAAAAAGTAAATAGTTTTAACGAGGAGGAGATATACGTATCAAGTATTAAAATTATAATATTTAGTAATTTAGTCTTAAAGAATAACAAAAAAAGAAAAAAGAAAAAAGAAAAAAGAAAAAAGAAAAAAGAAAAAAAGCAGATAGAAAGAAAAGAAAAAACAAGAGAGAGAAGAAAGACGATATGGTGGAGTGATTTGATATCAGCAGTTATTTCCTGTATATCTTCACAGATGTGGTGGGTCAAGTGGTAAACTTTTATACACATTTATATCTCTCGTAGTAATGCATTTATTTTCAAATATGTGTGTCTCTAAAAGAGAAATGAAAAATATCTAAGCGCGCGCGACATTTTCTTAAAATAAATACACATTGTATATCATAAATATATAAATATGCCATATACACAGTGTATTTTAATGAAAGAATAGTGGGAGACTCTCTTTTGATATAAAAGAATTTTTCATATTGGTGTGAGTCGTGAGTTGTTTGATCTACATATTTGTAAACGATATTATGGTGCTATAGTACATTTGATAAATTTCTTATTTATTATAGCCCTGAGTGAATTGCAATTATCACAGCTATTGTCTAACACATACATACATAGATACATAGATACATACATACACATTGATAAATATATACTTTCGTATCGTCGAATTTAATGAGTGCTTATAATAAAAAAATAAAATACAAAAAAAAAAATAATAAAATGACATTAAAAAAAAAGATAATAATAGACCATAATTAACATTTAGTTGATCGGTCCCGAATTAACTCGTGTTTCTATGACCGAACGTTGCTGACCGGTCACGAGTTAATTCGTGATGCGCTTTTTCATCGCATCACGCTATTTAAAAGGAAAACGCAGTGAAAATAAATATTAAAATAGTAACAAATTTTTTTTTGTTACTACAGTATAATCTCACTAATCCGGCACTTCAATAGACCGATACGTCCAATAATCTAGAACCCCCCGCCCGTGTCACCCTCGCCCCTCTAGGCCTATGCGCTCCGTCGCCGCTGTATTTATTTTAATTTTTTATTTTGATTATGATGATTTTTTCTCTATAATCCAGTAATCCGAACATTCCAATAATCCGGCACCCTCTGGTTTTTAATAGTGCCGGATTAGTGAGATTGTACTGTATTGTTATACTGTTTAATTATACGAAAAAGAAATATTTAAGGTCTAATATTAGGTCGAGTCACATAAGTAACTTCCGATGCGTCCATGTAGAATCTATTTTTCGTATTTACCTACTATAAGTCACCGAAACAAACGGATTTTCGATATCACTATATAGATAAGGATTTAGTTAGTCTTCTGTTAATTTTTTTATGCAGTCAATGTTACATTTAACCGTTTTTCTTAATCACTGAAATGGATAGTAAAAAGTGCATATTCGACATGTAATGCTTTAAGAATTTAAACTAGGCAATAGCACTAAAGTGGCTACTGAAAAAATATACAGCGTATACAGTGCAGGACTGATAACTGATAGGGCAGTCAGAAATTGGTTTGTAAAATTCCGTTCTGGAGGTACGATCTTAAAAGATGAACCGAGTGCAGGACGTTTTTCCAACTTTGACGAACCTTTTAAAGGTAATATTGGAGCAAAATCCAAAACGTATCACGTTGAACAATTGCAAAGAGTGCAAAAAAAACTCCATGAAAGGTGTCTTGCACTTATCAGTCGCAGAAACACCATTCTTTGTCTCATAAAAAACGGAAGTTATTTATGATTCGACCTAATAAATTCTTTAAAAAAATAGCCGGTCAACAAAGTGTTAAACGATATCTCAGAAATTACCTAGGGCACAGTATTTTATGCTAATACTTGAACAAAAAAAAAAAAATAAAAAGAATATCCAACGAGGTGTGCCAAAAGAAAATACACATAAAGACTTGGTATTTAAAAAAATTAAAACATTAATCGTATAAAAAAAAAAATATAATGACGGGCTAGTAAATTATGTGTTAAAAAAAAAAAAAAGTAAGAAAAATTGACGATGCAATTTATAATTATAAAATAAAAAAAAAATACACACATTACTCGCGCAGGCACATGTACACACATAATTCACACGGTATTTAAATTGACTATCGAATTTTTCTGTAAAAGTGATGATGAGTATATATATTTACATACTATATTATATTTTTCTCTATCATACGAGATCTTTCTCAGTCCTGTTTATATTTTTAGAGACTTTAATGGAATTTTACACTGAAAAAAAACGGTATTCAAATTAAAAAAAAAAAAAAAAAACTAAAAAACTAACATTGTCAGTCATGAGAAGAAACTATAATTGTGTCGTCCATATTTATTATAAGTAATTCAATCTTTTTCTATTCTTCGTACGAAATAACCATCCAATAACAAAACCAAAAACTAATCTCTGTAGTGTTGAGAGAAAAAAAAAGTGGATAATCTCAATTTATATTAGTCGAAATGAATGCATTTTTTTAGTTATTATTTTTCTATGCCATTATTATACTCTTTTCCTCGTAATAATGTATTTAAATATCATATATTAATATTAACTTAATTGTTAGATCTCTGTATCTCGATTTGCTGCACAGCTTATGTATGAATAATTATACTTTCTCGTCAATGAAAAAAAAATAATCATTTTTCATTGTTGGTATAAGTATAAGCCTACTCTCTCTCTCTCTCTCTCTCTCTATCTCTATCTCTATCTCTATCTCTATCTCTCTCTCTCTCTCTCTCTCTCTCTCTCTCTCTATCTCTCTCTCGGAAAACAAAAAGACTCGCGTGAGCGATTTTTTGAATCATATATTAAAACAAAAAAGAATAATATTATTAATAATAATAATACTAATAATAATAATAAAATACAGAAATTTATCGGTCAACCTTGTGCTATGTCCAATAGTTATTTAAGTAATTCTATCATGTAGTAACATACCTTTATATCGATCTTATACCTTCTATGTATATCATCTATAAAACCTTTTTACCAAATATGTAAATTGCATTTTCGACTTTTACCTTTTATTCGTCATTTAGTTATCTATATATGTAATATGTATATTTAATATATTTTCAACTTCAGGAAACCTAATCGCGAGCTTATTGCATCGACGAAAGGACCATAAAGTATGAGGTGGATGTTTGCACGACCTTAAAGAAAATTAAAATAAATGCATATGTGTAAATGTTAATAAAATGTCGTATGGCACATTTACATATCTTCTTTTTTTTGTTTTATATTATATTAATATTAATATTTATATTCTTACCATCGAAAATGTTTCTAAACAAAATACGAATATTTTTCCTGCGGTTAAATTAGATGGTCTTAGGCTTCTTCGAATAATAAATAATATCATTTTACGTACTATCATTGGAGCATCGTACCATAATCCGCTATATCTGTACAATTTATTAAATATTTAATTATCTATACATATATATATATATATAGTAAATAAATATACTATAATATAGTAATAAAGTATTTAATTTATTTTGTTCTTATCGACTGTAACGTTGTTACAGTCAAATGGTAAATAATTTTCTTTACTTCACAGATAGGTCATTAGCATACAACGTTACCGACAGAAATAGTAAAAAAAATGTCTTATCTTTTGAATTATATAATATAATAAATAAATAAATAATTATTTGAACTCACGCTTTAAAATAAATATCACTACTATGATCGATTATTCTTTGACCGACAAAACTAATGCAATAAACATGGAAAAGTTGTGCCAATGTAAATGCCGCAAATTTAAATACTTCTGCTGATTTTCCCATTAATTCTGCTACCTATGATTTTAATAAAATTAAAGAAAAATACAATTCATTAATTCATAATTGTTGAATTTAAATAATTAATACATACGCGTAAAAGAGAAACGCTCAAACAAATTATATTCATTCCTGTTATTAATAACGATGGCAATGAAAAATATGATTCCATAATATCAGCAAATCTTCAAAATTACAAATAAATTAAAAGTTTAATTATAATTATTCATTTATATATATATGTTTTATAGATTTGTACAATTTTTATGTTTATACTAACTCGACAGCTCTTTTGTGTGCACCAATTAGAAGCACGACACTTCGAATACATTCTTTGCGTCGACGATTTGGAGACATTTTTTCATAATTATTTTCCTTTAACAAATGTTCTAATCTATATCTGAAAAATATATTGAAATCTATTTTTCTTTTAACATTCAAAACTTCTTCTAGTAAAATAAATCTTGTAAAAAAAAAAACATGTGTGTATATCACACAACTTAGAAGTGAAACCTTCAAATAAACAAGTTTCGAGGATAATTTATTATATAATATTATTATAATATTGTTTTTACTTTTAATTTGTGATTATTTATTTAATTATTAATTTAATTATAAAAATACGCGCCTGTTCGTATGCAACCCTCCAGACACATTTTGAAAATTTTGCTTGCGAGCGTCATCTACTGGGAGGGAATTTTTTTTAGCAGTCTAAACTGTTTATACACGTATGTATGACGGGTTGCCTATCTTTCAGGCAGAAAAAATTTCGTCCCGACAGATGGCGCTTGCAAGCAACATTTTCAAAGTGTGTCTGGAGGGTTGCATTCATACAGGCGCGCATTTTTTATAATAATTACAAAGAAAGTAAATAATAAAACACTTAAAAAAATGTTTGCAAATTAAATATTTGTATAAATAATGATAATTTATAAATAATCATATGTTCATCTCTTTTTCTCTTCTTACGTAGTATTAAGGCCATTTTCTTTCCTCACTACATCAACGCGTTTCATTTTTTCAAATCACACCCATTCTAAAGTAGTTTTCACTTCAAAAAACTTCTAGTAAAATTGATATAAAAATAAGAAAAATTTCTCTTACCCGACAGTCGCAAATAAACCGCAAACGTGAGAAGTAAAAACCAAAAAAATGGTATCGTTAGCGAGAAAACACGTAATACCAATCATAATAGTCAAAGTCATGTGAAAATAAATTGGATAAAAGTATTCTTGTGGATCGACAAAGTATTCATTCATAATTACATGTTGCAATGGACGGGATTCGTTTAATGGTAAAATTAAATCGACGATTTTTGGTAGAAACGATATCGAAAAACTTAATATCACAGTTGTGTAGATGTATACTAAAAGAAAAAGAAGAACAAATCTGAATACATTTGATAATAAATTTAATATGATGAACATAAAATCTTACTTATGTATCCTATCGAATATAATCTTCCTTCTTTGGCATATTTTTTCATTATGGTTATTTCTTCTTTTGTTTTCCATAATTTCCATTCGTCTTCGATCTTATTTAAAAGATTTTTTATCTGTGAATTATAGTTTATTAATAATATTAAAATAAAAATCAAGTAATTAAGAAATGTTGGGTAAAATCAAATAAAAAAAGAAAAATTTATTTAAAATTCTAAAATAATTTCTAAGCACTAATAAATTAAAAAAATCAATATTAATAATATTTACTTGTGAAATAATAAGATAATTAATTGACCTTATTACCACCGAAGTAACACGCGTGACATTTGATAGAAAGAGTTGACATAAGTGATATTCCTGCAATAGCATCGGCCATAAATTCGAAATCTCCCTTAGAAGAATATAATAATAAAATCTGTAATAATAATAATAATAATTTTACATTATTTATTATATTATTATAATAAAATAAAATACAAAAAAACAAAGTATATTTACCTCAGTGATAATAATAGAAGTGGTTAAAGAAGTAACAAAACATAAAGAAAATAAACGAACATTAGGATTTTGATCAGGCCACTGACCTATCATTGATAAAAAAAGTTTACTAACCCTATAGTAGGGAAGATCGAAAATATCCATAGGGTTGTTAAGAAGGCGTGAAACATTCTGAACTAGGAGAGAAGTTAGAAAAGTGACGAAGAAAGAATCGGGCATGTATCCTATTCAAATATTTAAACCCTCTTTTCCATCTTATTGAAGAAATAATAGTCACGTATTTTTCAAGAATCTGACGTATAAAGTGTTATTGCAAATTTAATGAACCTTTCTTTTCTTCGTTAAGTCTTTTTTTTTCTTTCATTTTCTTCATTGTGACATTTCCTTTTTAATTGCATGTTGTTTCTAAGAAGCACGCTGTTAGAAACATGTAATTATAGCTGAGCAAATTCTCCAGTTTACATTTTCTCCTTTTCATTTCTCGGATATATTGAATATTCTATTAATTTTTTATGAAATTAACTGTCAAATCGATCATTTTAACAATCTATAATTAATTTATCTCGCACAGGCGTGTATAGACGTTAGACAATAACTCGTTGGAAAAATTTCAATGTCTTATAACAGTGTTACTTAGCTTTCGTTCGTAGAAAAACGATCGTAAAAAAAGGAACTTTTTAATTAGTATGATAAACTATTATTCTATAAATTATTTTAATTATTTTTCTTCATCATCATAAGCTAAATATTTAAATTTATGGTGAACGAATTTTCTGTGCAATATCAAATGTTAGTATTGATATTAATCAAAGATTATTTTCTTTTCTTGCTGTTTTTGCCTATTTTATATTTTTAATATTATAATGTGACATTAAAAAAGTGATTTTTATATAAATTTATAATTATTTATATTAAAATAATTTTTAATTATCAACTCCCTGGAGATATGCAACACTCCAGACACCGTTGATTGCTTGTGTGAGCGCCATCTACCAGGATAAATGAGTATGCAATACCGTCGTACAAATATGTAACTGTGGTTGCATACTCTGAGGGAACGTCTCGTACTGATTGATGGCTCTCACACGCTGTTTGGAGTGTTGCATGTCTCCAGGGGGTGATAATTTATATTAATTAATATAAATAATTATATATAGAATCGCATTAAACAAATTTCATGACAAAGCATATTGAAAATGATTAGCGATGAGCGTTGAATGGTGTCTAAGAGTTGATGAAACAATGACATGAGGTACCAACGTACATATATCGTTTATTTACACAAGGTAGATCGTTTTTTTTTTTTTTTTTTTTTTTTAGTAATATTATCTCTTTTTCTTTCTCATTTTTATCTTCATTATTTTCTTATACAATGACGATGCCATGTGAAAATGCGTGTATGTATGTGTATGTATGTCTTCTTTTGCGTGCATGAAAAATTTCTGCGTGATTAAATAATGTCAGCGCGCATGGTTTTATTTTATGCTTTCTTTTTTTTTTTCATCTAAAATCAATGTATTATATTTCATACTAAAATGTATCATGTAATAATATGTCATTATGTATTTTATGTATGCATGTAAATATGTGTGATTGGCTTAGCGTTTGATAAAAAATTTTCTTTCATTATTTGGTATTTTTCTCTTTTTTCCTTTTTTTCTTTCTATTTTTAGTGAAGAAGGACTAGATGAGCGGATTGAGCGGATGATCATTTATGTTATATGTATATATATATATAGATGTATATATATATATATATATATATATATATATTATTTTGTTGTAGAGTTATCAACGTGCTCTTATTGATATCTATATCTTCTTCTTCCCATTTCTCTTACAAGTCATTTTCCATGTTCAATTTTCATTGAATGTAATCTTTGTGTCACAATTCGTCTACGAAGGAAGTAAATTTCGAGGGATACGATTTGGACCATCTGGTTCATCGTTTTTTGAGTTGAAATCTTGTATAGGTCTTGTATTTTTTTTTTTTTCGAGTTTTTTTTTGTCGTAAATTTTCCTTTTCTTTTTGTTTTTTTTTTCATCGTCGGACTTTTTATTAACGAGAGAACAACAGTTTTTTTTTTTTTTTAATTTTTGTTTTTCAGAGTAGAAGTTTTAAAACGACTAAGAACATTGGCTAAGAGAATTAAAAAGATATCTTTCCTTTCTCCACAGCCGAAGTTTGTTTGTTTGTTTGTTTGTCCTTATTTTTTTTTTCTCTTTTTAAGTTAAAGTTATAAGTTAAAGTTAAAGTTTTAAATATCTCATTGTGGTTTTAAACGCAACATGAAGAGACAAAGACGTACATAAAGATAGTGTGAATTTTAAAAGGGAATTTGGAAAAGGGTTCTTGAGGGTTAGTGGGAGGAAGATTAGAATGGATTTTAAAGAGGTAAAAATGTGGTAATTCGTGTAATTCGTTTGTACGTGGTTAGTAGTAGTGTAATTGAAATGTCTCGATTAGAATTTGTAGATTTTAGGAGACAAACAGGGTTAAGATTAGTTAGGTTAGTGTGTATACTTTTTTGTTTGTGTTCATGCGTGTGTTTATGTGTTGTGTTTCTCTTTTTGTTGTTTTGTTTTTTAGTATTATTAATTTTGTTGTTAAACTCTGTAGATATGTGTATGCGTGTATATGTAACATAAGTACATGTACACCAAAAAATTCGTACATATAAGTCCAGTCGGTTTATAAAGATTACTATTGCCGGCGCAGGAGATTTGTTTTTGTGTTAATTAACTGTCTTACTAATCTAATTAATAGTCATATAGATTATAGAGAGATAGAGATAATAATTATAATACCAATAGTAAGAATAATAATGATAATCATAATAATTTTCTAACGACTAAGCGTTAGCGTTTTAAATTGTAGCGGTACAATAGAATCTCATCATTTTTTTTATAGTAGCTTTACTTTTTTTTTTCTTTTTTTTTCTTTTTTTTTCTTTTTTTTTATTAATAACGTTTCGATATTATCAATTGGCCTTTTCATCGATTTTTTCTTGTCCCCCTTTTTTTTCTTTATACTTGTTTCATTTCATTTCATTTTGTTGTTTTTTTTTGTTCCTCAAGAATATAGGAAAAAAAATAGAGCTACTTGATTGGTTAAAAAATAAACTTAATTGTACAATATATGAATTTTTGAAACCTATAAACAAAGAGGTTTTTCTTTTTTGTTTAAAATAAGTCGGCGCGTTCGGCATAGAGTTACTTAATAATTAATAATATATATACATATTGATTTATGTAGTAGAAGTAGATAGAGAGAGAAAATGAAAAGATACACCATAAATAGAAGGAGATCGGTCAAAGTATGTATTTAGCGTGTTTTAACCAGTTAAGCGTGTTTTACGACTATATCCGTCATGGAGATGTGGCTAAATTTTGTGTTATGACATCTATATCCGTCATGCGTAAAAGTTTCTTACAATTTGATGTTTAAATTGTCATTTTGGCGAAAACTAAATTATATTCGTAAATTTTAATATGTTTAAAATGTTAAGAGGTGGACAAAAAAAAGTCAAGAATAAATTTTTAACTTTTATAAATATTCGATTTTTTTCTCGAATTTTTCCGTTTGTTATGCATAAATATATGTTCATATTAAGAAACTGTGTGTACATTACTAACAAAATTGTTCATTTTCTAAAATAAAGTCGTCTTTTGGACTATCCAATATTTTAACAGCGAGCGCCACTTACTCTGTGTTTGACGACTATATCCGTCATCGCTTAATTATCGCGACACACACCGGCGGAGCGCGCTCTGCGCACAGATCACCACACTTAATTGGTTAAGAGAAGTTAATGAAAACATACGAGATAACAGATACCTATGTTTTTTTGTTTTATTAACAAATACAAAAAAATAATAAAAAATAATAATTTTTATTTTTTTGTTCTAATTTTATTGTTTCTTTTAGTTTTCTTTTTTGTTTCTCTTTAGCCCAACGTTCGAAACAATTCGTATCATTTATCAAAAGTATTTAACACGTCTTGCACATTTATTGATAGAACAATTTTTACTTTCTATTTTTTATTTTCTTCTTTATTTTGCACGATTTCGAGAAATATATATATATATATATATATATATATATATATATATTTATATATAGAACAACAGCATGTTACATTTTTTTATTTCTTCTTTTTTTTATGTTGTTTCTGATGTTGATTTATTGGTTGGTAGTTTTTGTTGTTGATACACTCACAATATGAATATATTCGTACGAGATGAAAAGAATTTTGTATTATACGGTATGATTAACAATTTACTTTTCTTTCTCTTTTTATTCTTTATCCTCTGGTTATTTTCCGTTTTCATACTTTATTTTGTTGAAGAAACTATCATCATGATTCTTTATCTTTCATATTTGGATTTTGACAAAGAAAAATTACTTTGTCAATGAAATCCAATTGAAAAGGCGAATGTTGGTTCCATGCGAAAATCTTTTTTTATTATTATTATTATTATAATTATTATTATTATAATTATTGTTAATATTATTATTATTATTGTTATTGTTGTTAGCTTTTGTCTTACTTCTTCTTACTCTTTCTTCTTTTTCTTCTATTTTTTGTTTGTTTAAACAACTTATTTTCTTGTCTTTTTTTTATCTTCATTTCGTTAATTTTAGAAAATCATTTCCAATCGAAGACTGTTAATTAACTAAGGGGGAAACATTTGTGTCATTTAACATTTTGCCATTTAATTTTGTTTTTCCCTTTTTTATTTCTTTTTGTAATTTATTTTTGTCACTCTTTTTTGTCTCGTTTAAATCATTGTTTATTTTATTAATATCATCTCCTCCCTTCAAATGAATTTTTTTCGAAGCATCATATAACCTTTGTCACACACACCTATAGCGAGATAAATATGCTAATTTAAATTCATATAAAAATTTATCCTCCCTCTCCCTTTTTTAATCATTTTTTCCTCCTCCTCTTCCTCCTTCTCCTCTTTCCTTCTCAACCTTCTCCCTTTTTTTCTACTCTTCTAAAAATATTTACAAACGAATGAGATAATTATATTATAACATACGTACAATAATTTTTTATTTTCTTTTTATGTAACACAACAGGCATCCCTTTTTTACGAAGGATGTCTTTTTTCAAAACGTGTTTCTTTTTTTTTTTTTAATTTGTTCTTTCACGTACGAAATTGTCCCTTATCTTTTTTTGTATTTTAAATTTTTTATTTTTAATTTTTTTTTTTTTAATCACTGCCCGGCACATCGACGAAGGATGAAAATCGTTCAAAGGACTATACTTTGGTTTATTTTCAATTTGTTTTATATTCAGAGCTGTACTCGATATGTTTCGGTTCATTTAAATCAAACTTCTAAGCATAAAAACTAATAATTCAAATTATTATTTCATTAAAAAAAAGGATTTTAATAAAAATTTTACTATCTTCTATGTTTACTTTTACGATTTTCAATATTTTTCGTTACATTTTCTAATATTAAAGATATAATTACAAATTATAGATTATTCATAATTATTTCTGTAATTATTAATTATAAAAAACAATTATATAATTCAATTAAAACAATAAAATATTTTTTAACAGATTTGTTCATTCGTATTACATATTCAAATTCGTATTGAAATTAGAGAAAAGATTTTTTTTAGAACATGAGGTAGAAGGACAGTCAAACAGCTCAATAGATAAATCTCAAAATTCAACTCCATCTTACTAAAATTGTGCTTAAATATTTTTTTTCAAAATTTATATAACTTTAATTCTTTGTTGTTGTTAATTAAATTCGAATGAAATTGTGAAAAAAGTATTATTAATAACGATTTTTCAAATCCTTCATCGTGTAACTAATATCATTCTCAATAATTTCTACGTAATACTTCCAACAATATTATTATCAAACTAAATGAAACATCTTGTTATAATATACGATCATTATTGTGGCATTTTTTTATTACAACTATATCTTCTTCTTTTTTTTGTTTCAATTTTTATTTCTCCTTCTGTTTGTTTTAATTTTTTATTATTGAAAATATGCTCACAACGACGTCGTTTCAAACAGTAAACCTACATAACATTTATTTATTTATTTATTTATTTATTTATTTGTCTTATTGTTGATAGAATATATTTATAAGATAGGATCCTAACAAAACAAAAAACAAAAATAGAAAAAAAAGAAATACAATGCAAAAACAGAATTACATAGAAGAGAGAAGTATGCATATAATAATATGTGTTGTATGTAATTTCACTTTGAAACGTTGAATATAATATTATTTATTGTTAATTTAATAATAGAATAAATCACATTTATCGAGTTCTCATCTCGATCATGCCAATTTGTCCTACGTTAAATAAAGTCTCGATTCTGATCAATAATCATTTTTTTATTTCTCTCTTTCTCTTTTCAATTTATGCACTTCAATTCTTTTTCTCTTTCTTCTTGCAAATATTTTAAAGGCACGTGCCACGTGTGTTTTATTTATTTAATTATTTATTTACTTTATTATTCATTTCCTTTTCACATTATCGTTTAATTATCCAATCCACACATACGTAACCATAATCGTTGCATTCGTTAGCAGAATGTATATATATATATATGTTTTACGGGCAATGTATAGAATATGGGCATTCAATGGAACATCTGATTATTTTACAGAATGTCCAGAATTTTAGAACAATCTTATAGCCCCCTGAAAATGATTTTTCATTAAATCTCAATATTTAATTATACATTAGAATAGAGAAAGCTCTTTGCTGTTCTGTTTTATTCGTATATTTCTTCTTATCTTCTCTCTTTTCTTTTTTATCTATTTTCATTATTTTTAACTAGTACCATCGAAACTATTTTCTTCATCGGTTCTATTTGTCTGTTTATTTGTCTGTTTGTTTGTCTGTTATACGAGAAAAACTATGAAAAAATTTACTCTCTTCCAATCTATATCTTTTCTTTTTATCTTTTAACTCGTTAATTAATTAATTAATTAATATATATATAGAGTCATCATCATCATCATCATCATCATCATCATCATCATCATCATCATCATCATTATCATAATCATCATCATCGTGAAGAATTAATAAGTTATTATTTATAAGATATTTATTGCCGTTTAGGAAATCATCCCATCTCGAATATTTTTCACACTCATTTTATGTTTTCATTCGTTCTTCTTCTTTTTTATTTTTTTTTTATTTTCATGGTAATCGGTCTAACGAAAAAAAAAAAAAATGAAATAAATTGACTTTTAATCAAAAGGTTGACAATTTTTTTTTCATCATCACGTGTCGTATTTTTTTTTATAGTGTGAAGATAAGTGTGTGAATGAATGATAATATTGTGATAGAGGAAAGATAAGAATGGTCATCCAACAGATAACAGCGATCTCAATATACCTAACAATTATGAAAGTATTCTTTCTGTTTTTAGAAAGTCGACGCTTCTCTCTCTCTCTCTCTCTCTCTCTCTCTCTCTCTCTCCCTCTCCTTCTCTCTTTTTCTCTCTCATTTACTTCGATTGATAATTTATTTATTTATTTTTATTTTAATTTATTCATTTATATTTCTTTTATTTTTTCTTTACCCCGTGCAATGTTGCAATCGACCGAAGAAATCTTTCCCTTACAAACAAAAATTGTTGTTTCAATGAATTTCTTTTTGCATTGTTCCAATTATTATTATTTTTTTTGTTTACTTTCCCTCTCTCTCTTTTCTTTTATAATAATAATAATAATAATAATGTTATATCGTATGTATATAGCACATCTTGTAGTTACACGTACTCGATGAAAATTTCATTTTCATATTTCACAATGGGCCAATATTTTCTGAATGATTTTAATTCATTAATTAAACTCTCTCTTGATTAATTTTTTTTATTTTTTTTTTTTTTAATACTGTGAAACTGTGAGCTTCTAGTTTGGAATGATTTGATAAAAAGAGTCTAATTAAAATTGATGATTAAATTCTTGATGATTAAAATCATCAAGAAATTATTGACCCATCCAATGTGTGTGTATGTATATAATATATGTATATGTTTGCCACAATATTTGCTAATATTTAACGGAGTATTTAGTTTACATTTTTATGAAAATGTATTCCAGTACTTCATAATTACAGAGCGCATATGTAGACACATATATTAATGCACCTGCTATATATACATATACATATATTTTGCATAAGTTATATTTATAATTATATTGGTATTCTTTAATCGTCATTAACTTCATTTTTCAATGGACAGATACACCATATTTGTTGTTTTCCATTTTTTACTATTCTGATATCCAAATTAAATGGATAAATTATTTGAATGTATTATTAGAAACGTTTTATGTTTTTCTCTCTCTCTCTCTCTCTCTCTCTCTTTCTTTCTTACTGTCATTTTTTCTTTCTTTTTGTTCAAAAAATCTTCAATCGATCGTAACATTGCCATAAGTTAAAAAAGGGAATTAGATTTGAATCAATTAGCGATAAATCGAAGGAATTCCCGATCGATGAAAACACTTTTTTTTTATCTTTTTTTTTTATTTTTCGTCATGAAGTAAAATTCGCTGTACGGACGAAATTCTAAATCATTGTATACGTTTTAAAATACGGTGCTAGAATAATGTATGTATGTATTATTTAGAAATCCTGCCACCTGAGTTCTATTCCTTTCTCTCTCTTTCTTTCTTGCTTTCTTTCTTTCTTTCGTATTTTCTGCTTGTATGTATGTATGTATTGTATTGTATGTGTATGTGTGTTTGTGTATCTGTCTTTCTGTTTTTATTATGTCTATCTGTTCTGTCCTTAATTTACTTATAAACAAAGGAACATTCCTCTAGACAAATATAAAGTTTTACTGGCAGAATACTATTTTTAAAATGATAACTAGAACCAACTAGTGGCACCACCAAATTTGCCAGATAAACCACCGATACCCTTGCCGAACATACTGCCGACTTTGCCAACAACGTTAGAAGTTACGTTGCTAATATTGGCTACATAATTCGCATCTTCTCCTCCCATTGTTTCGACGATCGTCACCTTTGTTTTTGGTCTTTCCACATCTTCGTCGTTACCATTCTCGGAAACTCCTCTGCGAGATTGATTTTTTTTTGTAATGAAAGAATAAACAACAAAATTAATTAATTAAATTAAACGCTAAAATAATACTGATGAATTATTAAAAATTATTAAATACAAGTATATGTGTGTATATTTGCGTTTTATATAATTTAAACTGATATGTATATTTATTTATAAAAAAATTCTACAATAATTTTTACTCCTGCAGATATGCAATACTCCATGCATTATCAATACGTTGCTTGCGAGCGCCATCTATCAACAGGAAATAACCTCTGAGAGTATGCAACTGAAATTACAGATATGTACGAGGATGTTGCATACTTTGTTTTTTATTGATAGATGGCGCTCGCAAAGCAACTTACCGACATTTTGTAGAGGGTTGCATATTTTTTAGGTGCAATATTAATTAAATAAATAAATAATTGTTTAGCTCAAGACCATGCTATAAAACACATATTTTTAAAATAATGAATTAAAATATATATGACTTAGATCATTATATCGTTAGATGATCAATATATCATTAACGAAAAGATAGTAATTAATTACATACTCTTCGTTCTGAGCGCTCATGGTTAAGGCACAAGTTGCTTCTTCCGTCTGCATCCTCTTGGATATAGTCTGATATGTCTTCGAGTTGAGCTTTTCTTCCATCACACCTTGAAGCTCAAAGTCCGAGTAGATCTTTTTAACAATGTGTGCGAGACAGGTACATTGATAAGGATGTAAACTATGATCAAGTCTCTCGGAGAGCCACGTGCACAGCATTTGAATTTGTGCGGTGTACCATTGCTAAAAAAAAAAAAAGAAAAATAAAATAAATTATTTTTTTAAAAAAAGATATATTAATATTTCGATAGGATGAAGAATAATTTACCTCGATAAATGTCAAAATCCATAATTCATCGAGTACTTTACTACGAATTTGATCCACACAATTACGTGTGAAATTAACGTAAGCTGCACCCATTTCCTTACCGCTTCCCGACACCTTCTACAAAAAGTCCCATAAAATATCTAGGATATTTTGAAAACTATCTACGTTTAACGTGCAAAAGCATTTAACAAAATAAATAAACAATAGTAATTATTTGTGCTACATTCCTGACAATTATTCGATTAACAAAATGAAAACTGAATGATGTACCGTAAAGCTAAGTATAGAACCGATAAGAGATCCTTCATCGTAACGAGATAACTTGGACAATGTTGTTTCCAATACTGTAATTAATTTATTAATCATTCCCAAGTTCATAGCAGCTGAAGTTTTTTCTAACAGATCGTCGATCTTCGAGTGATATTGATGCTGAAAATAAAATATTAATACAAGTTTTTCTTATCTACAAAATTATGATTAAATTGGTTTCATACCACATCGACACCTTCAACAGTGCAAAGTTTAAAGCTTTGATTCTTTGCATCCAAAATAACGTTCACCATAGCACATATTTCCGATGGTATAATATAATCTGTCGATGTAAACGTAACACCCTTTTTAAGCCATTGCTGAAAAGCCGTATCTGTCCTCTGAATGCACGATTCTATCATATCACAGGCCATTAATTTCAATCGTTGTTCTAGGTGTTGACGAAATTCTTGATCTGGCCAATGTAAACCACCGATAAAAGATTGCAAAGCATCGAGCTTCCAAAATAGATCTTCAGAAGTTGCACATCCATTTCCTTTGATCTCCCAACGTTCCTTTTCGAATCCTTTGTGTATGGACTGGGCGATTGATGTTTCCATTAAATCGACATATCGCACAACCAACGGTGCAAACGTGTCGCGTAAATGTTGATGAAATCTTCCGTTTTTCAAGTTGTCTACAAACAAATTTTAATGAAATAACAATTAATAATATTTATGGTTTTAATTAGAAATAAATGAAAAATTTCAATTGGAATTATATTTACCGTCTGTCCTAAGATAATCGTTCAAAATCTGGAACAGTGGAAAACTGTCCCAGGTGTCAGGTGGTTGCTCAGCCAAGACCTTATCCATATCGACCGCAAATAGCGACCAGAAGATCTCGGCGTGCTCCACCATGAGATCGCTGAACCAGGCGAACGCCTGCGGTACAGTATAGTAGGAGCGGATCGTGAAAATATTGGACGTCACACATATACGGTGGGCACTTGTTTTCTAGCTCAGAGCAGTGGGAACGCTACCCCGAGCACGGAGTCCTCGAGGACCCAGAAGACACTACTTCTACTTAACGTCTAACTTACGTTAGTGATGAATGAAATTTATTATTCTTATATATGAGAAAAAAAATATAAATAAAATGAAAGGGTAACTATTATTATTATTGTTGTTGTTATTGTATTACGTGAAAGTTTCAGGTATCATTTTTTGATTTGAAATTCATCGCGATTAATGATAATGAACAAAAAATAATAATAAACGCGAGTTTTGTCTTCTGAGGAGGCTGCGGATCCTTACCAAATCCGTTTTTGAAGCATGCTACCCTCTCTCTCGAGAACTCCGAGAATGGACACTCAGTTCTAGAAACCCAACTAATACCTCCGAATAATGCTCTTCGTTTTGTTGGAGGAGATCGACGCACAATTCGGCAAGGTGTATCAAATCCTCCAATTTTTTACTTGGAGGTACGCAAACCTCACCACTGAAATCGTCTTCGATCTTAGCCTCCGCCGACAACTTCGTGTAATTCACGAGAGCTGCCGTTTCTAAACAGGACTTTATCAAGCCCTTAACTTCCTCCTGGGGAACTGGTGTTACACTGTCCTTCATCAAGACACGTTCCAAAAGGGATAAAGTTGATTTAAGTGCACCTTCTGGTCGTCCAAATGGAAAGCAATATCTGTGTGATTAATACGAATTATTTATTTTTTTGAAATCTTTCAAATTCTTATTTCATTTTACGAGTCTACGAAAAGTTTAGTCAATGCTCATTGATCATTAACTGAACTTTTCGTAGACTCGTGTATTGATTGAATTTTATAATGTGTGTGTGTGTGTGTGTGTGTGTGTGTATGGATAATGTTTTATAAATATTTTCTAAGAAAATTCAAAATTGTCACTTTGCCTGAAATTGGTTATTTGTTTTTCCAGGATTTTCCTAAGCCTCTCTTTGACCTCCTGAAATTTATCTTTCTCCTCGTGAGTTATCGAACCAACCCCATCTGTGGTGTTACCATAAACGTGAGTAGCACAAAATGCAAAGCTAAAGTGTAACAATGTCGGATCTATCATAAGTCCACGATCAAATCGATCTAGAAGATCATGTAGATAGCAAAGATGACGGAAGCAACCACGAACACCGTATCTATAACAATTAATAGATTAGTTAATTCAATGAACTGCTTCACTGCTTATTGTTTCTTTTCTAAATAATTCCTTCATTATTTCATTTTAATAATAATTATTAATGTTACATATGTATAAATATGTAATTAATCTGCCTGAATTTATGCAACCCTTCAAACACTCCATTGATAATGTAGTTTACAAGCACCACCTATTAGTATGAAACAACCCCTCAGAGTATGCAATTATAACTCACATATGTGTACGACGGTGTTGCATACTCTCTCTAGGAAATATTTCATACTAATAGATGGCGCTAGCAAGCAACATTATCGACATATATGGATTACTGCATAATTTTCAGGCGCCATTATTAATTACATAAATAAATAATTTTTGCGCATTATACTCTTGGTTACGTTATAACGCATCATCTAAACGTAATGAATTATTCGTTAACTCTTTTTCTAAAAAGCACAACGTTAATTATAATGTTAATGACATTACCTAGCACAATATTCATCGAGCACAAAAACTTGACCAGGAGAGAACCAACCCAAAGAGCAATAAGGGTCGTTCAGTCTATAGTCTAGGATTAAATTTTGTAGAAATTTGAAAAGTGCATGATGATCGAATTTACATGGATCCGCACTAATATAATTTTCCATTCCGTTTTTCTTAGCTCTGTCAGCATCCCCTTGAATTTTACTAATCGTTGAATTCTTCTCTGCCACGGATACAGGTGGTGTTGGCTTGTGCGACTGTCCTGTCGCTCTGTACATAGCCATTACCCACAAATGGCATTCGTTTTCATCATCCGATGCGAAGATTATATTGTCAGTATCACGTGAGGCGTTGAAAAAGAACCTGTCGAGTACACGTAATGAATGACCAGAATTTTTTGTTCGTTACTTTTTTTTCCTAGCATCAACCTATCCACAGCATACCACTTCTGAAATTGCATTGCTTTCATTGAAATATTATAAGAAATGTCTTATTTATCATAATTAATCTGTGCACTCTTGTTTCATGTGTTCATTCTATCTATACACCCATCTATATGTATATACATATACATTAAACTATAAAATCTACTACAAAGCACAACTTTTAGGTCGAATTGAGTCTCAAATTAGTCGAATCTCTTATGGAATTCGGATAATTCCAAAGAATTTGGATAATCTTATGAAGAAAAATCCGAATACTCGAATAACACTCGAATCCCAAACAGTTCGATGGCGAGTCATAGCTTTTGAAACTCGAGTCGATCTAAAAGCGTTGACAAAATCTTATTTTTAGCTTTCTTTTTACCTTTTCTACAATTATATTTGTAGAAAAGAAAAATACAATAAAAAAAGAAAAAACAATGAAATAAACATAAAATATCTACTGTTGTAAAGAGTCATCGTGATATCATTCCTAATAAAAGGATGTACAGATAGTGTTCTAATAGTGATAATACCAACAAAGTGCTCGTTACTTTAATTAACATGTTAATGCATCACCGATTGCCGTTGATCGTTGAAAAGGGCTACAGAAATTGTACTAAGAGCATGCCACACTACGGGCGTTAGGTATCTCCTTTGATATTTCTTTCGGAAATTTACCTTCCGCCTTCTAAATCCATGCCGACCATGATATTAGCGGAAATAGCTTCGATATAGTCCACGGTATAGCCATCGAGCTGCATCATTTCCGACGGCTCGCTTTTCTTTTCTTTATACGAGCACATCGCAAATGTGTACTGCGAGACTTGGACCAACACAAAATATCGCTTCTTCCACTTTTTCCATACAGACTTGCCATGAGCGTAAAGATAACCGCAGTGTTTCATGTTCAACGGCTTATCCATTCGGCAAGCTATCTTCATACGAAGATCTTGATCGGGATTATTTTTTGGTACCCTCATTCGATGCCACTCTGGTACCTTGGACGATAACGGGGTTGGCCTGAGTACAACTTTTCCCAATTCCTTATCCTCCAAAGCCAATACTGCCGGATTTTCGGTGTAAAGTCTAACTTTGACTACTGGGAGTGGATGCATCGTGGTGAAATCACCTTGAGTGTCCCACCTAAACAACATTAAAGAAAAAACAGGCAAATACGTACATCATGATCCTATTTCTTTTTTTTTTTTTTTTTTGTTGTTGTCGTTTATCCGTTCGTTTAATCATGCCCTTTTTTTTCTTAAATATAATTTAACTACTCACATTGGTTTGGACGCTTCAGCCTGATCAGTCTGTAACTTCTCGCTACCCTCCACTTGCATAGTGCAATAAACTATTTTATTGGATGCTAGACTCTTTAGGCCTTTGACCTCCATAACAACTACTTCCAATTGGAAAGTCAGGCCGACGTCTATTTTTGACAGCTGGGGATCGGAATCAGCGGAGTCGCCCTCCAGTTTAGCGAGGGAACCCTGACCGCGGCAGCGGGAGCGCTCACCACGATAGTTGTAGCGCTTCAGCTTCTGCAGCCCGTATTTGCTGTCTATCGAACCCTTGGAGACCGGTAACGACTCCAAATTAGCCATTAGCAGGTTGATAGACGACTTGAGCTCCTCGATGTAGAGCGACTCCATCTCTTTCAGGAGGAACCTCGGCATGAGCTTGCGGTTCTATGGGACAAGGATTGCTAGAGATGTTTCTCTGACTTATAGAAAAGGAATAATAAATAAAAAGTGGATAATATCAAGTGATCGAAAAAATTAACTTCGTATTCTTCTTGAATTCAAATCCCTTTTTCTTAGTAGGTTCATAACTGGTGTAGGAGAGAAGAAAAGCGTAAATTAAATGGAAATAAATGAAAATACCTTCTCCATTTCGCTGACTTTTTGTATGCGACCGTCCAGCTCCCTCCTGATGGCGGCAGCCTGTTCGTCGGCTGAGTCCAACAGGAGGGAATTGAACAGAAGCTGATGTTCAAACTTCTTGATTCCAAGGATTTGCTGAAACATGTCGTACAACTGCTCCTTTGACAATATCAATTCCGAGTTTAAAGACTGCTGTTGCATCCTGGAAGGCCTCTTAGTTTCTTCATCACCTGTCCCCTTGATAATACAATCAAATTTGGCCAACCAGGACGTAAGCACAGTCTCTTTGCTTAACCCGTCGATTTCCTGGAGGCTTCGAACACGCTTTTGTATGTTCTTTTTAAATACCTCGCGGAAGTCGATTTGGGAACAAGCACCGCTTTGTACCATTCGAACTACTCTGTCTGATTTCAGAAATACGTCGAAGTAATTCTGTATAGCATTGCGGAATGCCTCGTCGGCCATTATCTGCGTCTCACCTTTCAAGAAACCCTGAAAATCGAAACCGGTTAATAAGATTGATATAAAAAGTTCCAAGTGTTTTTTTTTCTCTTCCTTACTTTTTTTTTGTTTCATTAACAAAATACTTTTAATTAGAAGTATCTCGTTAACCTATTGACCTAGTCTTTCGCGTTAATACTGATTTCAAATGTTATTCCATACGTCATAAAAATTTCAAAAAGGGTTGCTCTTTAGAATTAATTACGAAATTATCTGAAACCATTTGGTGCATAACATGCTAAACGCGAAGATCTCATTTTTCTATTTCGTGTAATCTTGTTATTTCCAAAATTAACATTTTTTTGTTTTATTTTATTTTTATTACAATGCAGTCTCATTTAAATACAGAAATTTGTTTGACCCGACGACACGTGAATTTATCGTCGATAATAACGAATTTTCTGCATAATGCGTTTATATTCGATCAAATAGGAACTAATGTAATTAGGGCCTCTAGACCAGAGTAATTATTGACGACCATTGGCGTGAGTATAGATAATTTAAAGCAAAGTATCACATCGATTTATCAGATAGTGTAACGAAGGTGAAGGTTATGCACGAATCAACTATAAGACACCGTGTAAGGTTTCGCGAAATTACCGTCTATTTTAAAAGGTTTCTGACGCTTTTCGATATTATAAATCTAACATATATATATATATATATATATAATAATTATATATATGTATATGTGCACACATATATCTAACTTGTCTGACTAGAAGTATTGTATATATTCATGTTCCAGTTCAACAATCGACAAACGAACACATAAAAAAGCTCCATTCACCTGAAAGCGAGAGCAGATCGTTTCAAGTTGCTGCTTCGTTACTTTCATTTGCCTGCGTGTCATATCCATCGGTTGTTTCGCATTGAATGGATAAGCAATGCATCGTGAGATAAAAACGTACAGTTGTATCCTTGTCTTTCGTTCTTCCTCTTCTCTTTCTTGTTTATCCTAAAGGTATCCAACAAATATATTCAATTAATTATATAAAACTATTAGAGCAAAAAACGATTAAATCAAAGACAACATATAACAGTAGGTACCTGAAAATGAAATAATACTTTAAAATGTTTAAAAATGGTTATAGGAGAAAGATAACAAGTAGTGAATGTCAACGATAAGACGATACCTGCAAATCCACTTCAGTTTTTTCACTTGCAACGGATGGCGAAGGGCTCGTTGGTCTTTGAGAATAATTTGCAGCATCTTGAGCTGCACTCATAGAAGGTGACAAAGAATTTCTCGCGCTAGAAATACTTGGTACGTCGAGAGCGGAGGCAGAATCTTGCGAAAGAGCCCCGGTAGTACGGGGTTGTACCCCAATACCACCGGGTGGACCGACGTGGTTCGAGCCACCAGGAGACGCGGTGATGCCCGATGCGAGCGAACCAACGCTCCCGGAAACTGTACCACTACCAGGACCACCAGGAGGATAGTGGTGGGAGCCGTGGGAGCTTCCGCTACCTCCACGACCACCGCCGCCACCTCCATGGTGAGTACTCTGGTCCTCTTCGCTTTCCTCCTCCGATGAACTTGGATCTATCATATTTTATATATATGTTAGGCCTTCTACCAAGGCCCAAACGCTTCACCGAGCGGTCCTCGACCTCCCAATTTGGAGGTCCAGCCGCTTCACTTGATCACGGATCCGTCTTGCTCAAATAAATTATCTTAGATTCTTAGTTTTCCCCAGGTTCTTATCTTCAATTTCTTTTTCTTCTTATTTCTACAAATTAAATCAAATATCATTAATAAACATATTGTATAAAAGAATTATCTTTTTATTCATTAAAAAAAATAATTAATTCATCTTTATTATGTATATGCTTTTGTTTAATAATCGTCTTGTTACGTATTTTTCTGAAAAAAAGAAAAGGGAGCAAAGCAATGTTAACAAATTCACAGAGAGAAACTTATTTCATGGAAACGAGTTTAGAATCGTCTGACTATATTCGTCTTTTACTACTCAAAAGAACACGTCCTCCATCATCATCATCGTACTTTCACGACTATCCCACTCTTTTGAAATGCTTTAAGGTTTCAAGGGAAACTGAACGGCTTTAGAGTAAAAGTGTATGCATATATTATACATATATACATCATTGACTGTAATATTTCACTCTCTCAGAGAAAGCTTTTACAGATTGCACAGTGATATGAAGTAAGTGGAAATATCGATGATAAGTCAGGAACATATCAAAGAAAAGATTTTTTTTTCAAACACACAAAGAGAAAACAATCGATAAAATAAAAAACAATAAAAAATATATCTCTCTGTATATTTGTATACAATAAATTAACATAAATTTTCTTTCAGTGATTTTCTACAATGAAAATTGAAACAATTTACCGTATATGTTTATTTTAAATGTGTCTGATAAGCATTTAATATACCTCTTTTCTCGGTATTATAGAAATGAGCTTGTGTTAATGATAAAACAAGACTACAAAACGATAAACACGCATACGGGCCCGTTAATACACACCTAACCCAGAAATGCAAATGTTTCCGCCGTAACGTTGATACCGAATGTCATTCTAAGCACGGAAAGTGAATATACATAGATACATAGATTCTGTGTGTGTATATCCATATATACATATATATATATATATATATATATATATAGATCTAAGCTATTACTACTCAACATTTGTCACGTAACCGTTAGGAAAAAAAAGAAAAAAAAAAGAAAAAGTAGAAAAAGAGACAAAACTTTCACTATTTTCTACTAGAAACATGATGGTATAAATAGATTCGTATACAAAAATATACATAAGGATCAATTATGCAAGATTTCAATATTTGAAATGTTTTATACAAATTAAACATCTAATGTGATAAAACTATTAAATGAAAATAAATAAATTAATCGTGAAATAATCAAAGAAAAATAGATTGATTAAAAGATAATGTTCTATCGAAGAATTTAAAAAATTTGTAATAATGTTAGGTATATAAAAGCATAAATGAAATGTACATAAGTTCGATAATATCATTTACAATAAAGGGAAAGAACCGTAGATCTAATTAAATCCAAAGACACACTTTCAGACACGTATCCTTTGTCATAGTACTCGTCTTGAAAATTCGAACACTATTTACACCCCATGATCCCTAAGTGACAGAGAGATAGAGAGAGAGAGAGAGAGAGAGAGAGAGAGAGGCTGAGAGAACCCTCAAAGTAATCGTTTTAGTACATTATTAATGCAAGACCGACGCGTACATAGAAAAGCTGCCTTTTACTTCCAATGTAGAGCTTTGATCGAAATTTGTCCTTCGTCTCTATTCGATTAACAAACTATGAACATCCTATAACGCATGATTAATATCATTATTTAATTTCTTTTCCTTTTTCTTTTCCTTTTTCTTTTCCTTTTTCTTTTCCTTTTTCTTTTCCTTTTTCTTTTCCTTTTTCTTTTTCTTTCAGTAACTTATATTACGTATTAAGTATTGTAAGTTAAAACGTTATATGTAGTAATAACTTATGTTGTTACTATTATAAGTTATTATTCAATAATAAGTATAAAAAATATATATTTATATTTAATATATATTATAATTATATTATATTTATACTTATATTTATAATATATAATATATAAAAGTATAAAAAAAATAATAACTTATTACTTATTATATTATACTATATAACGTATTAACTTATTACATTTATATCTCATACTAATGAACTTAATTTATTATTAATATTTATAATAATTATTTATGATACTACGATCATAATTGATTATTATAAATATATTTCTTAGATTATTATTAACATATAACAGGTGATTTATCAAACGGCAAATGATTCATAAGAGTAAACGTAGGTGTAGACGATATTATGTTAAAACATCGATTTATGGAAAATATGACGCACAACTTTAATTGAAATACCTCATGGACTTGCGCACATTATTTCTGCATAATTATGTGACAATATGTATGATATAATACATATGTTGTATCGGAGTAAATAAAATTTATATATCATCTCAAATGTTTACGGTGTTAGCTTCTATTTAAACATCATCGCGATAAACAAAATATTCTTTTCGTATTTTATCGATAATTTTTGTATACTTTTTTCTTATTTATTTTTTTATATTTATTTATATTTAATCCTTACGAATAAAAAAAAATGAATATAATCTATTTATTAAACAAACGATTCATCGACGACACTTTTAATCTTTGTTTATTTTCATCTTTTATTTATTTTATATTTTAAATATTAATTGCATAACAGAGAGAGAGAGAGAGAGAGAGAGAGAGAGAGAAATGGTAAAATATGGTCCTTGTTAAATCGAAAGATAATAGATGATAAAAATGTGCATCGATTAATATAATCAAATTCATGAATTTATTTATTTTACACGATTCGACGATTAAATAAATAAAAATTTATCTGATTCTATTCGTTAACGAAACAATCGTGTTTATACAGTCACGTTCGTCTCTTCCATATGTTATTTTATTATAATCTGACAAATAAGAATATAAAAGAAATAATATATTATAATAATATATATATATATATATATATATAGAAAGTTTGATAATAAACGAGAAGTTCTTTCAATATTATACGAGACCGAAATTTTAGTGAAAAATTCAAAGAAAATTATTTTCCATTGAATGAATATTTTTCTTTCTCTCTCTCTCTCTTTCTCTCTCTCTCTCTCTCTCTCTCAGCCACTCTTAGTTCTACTCTCTATGGGCGATCTCGTAAATATGAAAAATACATGTCCTTGTGAATGCAAAAGTTTTGTGCTTGTATGCGTCCTATGCAAGAGAGTGCATCCAACTGTGAGAGGAAAAGATTTGTCGTCTGCATTGAATCTATCTATCTATATATATCTTTATCTTTTTCTCATACAATGTGAAAATACGAGAATGAAAAATGAGAAATTCTGAAACATGGAAAATAAAAATTTAAATATACCTGAATGAATATAATAAAGTAAAAGCAAAAAAAAAATTGATAATACATCTAATAGCTATAAATGCAACAATAAAGATATTTATATAGATATATATTTCAAAACAATCTGTTCATATTTTTACTATCTTGCAAAATATAATATCTACCTTCATTTTTTTTTACCTACGTACAAGTTTTTTTGTGTAGGTGCGTGTAATTCGCGTGGATAAAAGTGTGTGCTTTACGACACTTTACGAGATAGTCAATTAATGAATGATGAAGCAAAAAATCTATAAAGGTCATAGTGGAACGAGCTTATCCTCCTACTCGAATGTGCGTAAAAACATGAACATTTATATATATATATATATATTGTTTGATTAATTAAATTCAAATAATTAAAATAACAAAACTTGTATAATACTATGAAACACATGATAACAAACTAAATAAATGTATATATATATTTACTTCTTCTTTTTTGTTAAATAATCATAGATTTATTTGATGAAAAAGTTTATTAGATTTTAAAGGACTTGTTTGCGTAAAGAAACCGATAAAATCTCATTTGTATTTAAGCCCGGTCCAATTAATCTTTATGAATTTTTCATAAAACACTCAACACGCGAAAACCGTCTAGACGACTTCATTGTAATTCAAATACAACAACAATACTAAGTTAAATAAATCATATTTATTTATGATTCCAAAACTATGATATTTAGTTTCTTCATTTACACTGCGTCAATTTGTTAACTAATGATCTGTTAATTATGCATACCATTTATTATATTACGTCTCTTTATCAATTAGAAATTTAAAACTTTAAACATGAATTTAACAAATTAATGTTGCATAATTTTTTGTACATTGCAAACTTACGAAAGTAATTATTTATACGATTTATTTACATATTCCTACATTTCTGGTAATTTTTCTTATTAGTTATCACCTTTGTACAATCATTTATCAAATTAAGTTTTAACAATTATTATTTGTAATCTCTGAATATCTTTTTTTTTCATTTAAAAGAACAATTTAAATACTTTAACAAATATTCATTAACAATACAGAATAGTATAAAGTACCCATTAATTCTTTCCATTATACTTTTTCTAACTTGGAAGCTTCTCTTGCGTATCCGCATTACAAGCCTGTTTAATATTAATGATAGCTTTCTATGCTTGCAGATTTTAAAGTAGAAGAAGAAGAAGAAGAAACAGAAAAAAAAGAAAGGGAACAAAAAGGAATAAAAGAAAAAAAAGTTTTTCTTTGAAACCGCATTAAAGTCAAACGTCAGACATTAAATGAAGCTAATCGAGGTGAAAAAAGAAAAAAGAAAAATGGGCTTTATGATCAATTTTTCAATTAAAAAAAAATCATTAGCCTATTCGATTTATGTCGAATGGTGACGATAGAACAAACTCAAAACAAATTTAAAACAAATATAAATTCAAATTATATTGAAATATAATTCAAACGCAATGAAATTTTGCATTTCTCTCTCTGTGTTCGTAGAAAAAAGAAAGGAAAAAAAAAAAACAGAAAAAGGAAAGTAGAGAGAAACAGAGAGAATGAGAGAGAGAGAAAAAAGAGAAGAGATAACAAATAATATCGATTGGACAGCGGCCTATTTAATAGGACAAACAACGTAATCCAGATTATCGACGTTCTTGTTTAAACGGTTGCCGTTTTAAACGATCTTAGAAAAAGAACAGAAGAAAAAATAACAAAGATAAATATTAAATCTGGACAATATCGAAGTATGTACCTTTTCCTAAAAAATATATATATATTAAATAACTAAATATATATATTATAATAGTAAATATCTTTTTTATATTACATAATATATAATATAATAATATAAATATTTTATATATATATTTTATATTATATATTTTATATTATATATTATATATTATATTTTATATTATATAATAACAAATATAATCTATTTTTTTAGATATATATACATATATAAAAAATATAAATATTAAATATAAATTAATTTATATTAAATAAATATATATATAGATATAAAAAAGATAAATATTAAATCTGAACAATATCGAAGACTTTTTCCTATATATATGTATATATATAGGGATCTATATCTGTATACCACAAATGCGATAAAACCTTTTCCTGTTGTAACATGAATGACGAAGCCACCGACCGTTTGCTAGTGTTTCCCCCCCCCCCTATTCAGTTTGATGGATAACGAAACCAGTTTTTAAATGAACTCTATAACAGTTCTATCTTATATCAAACGAGAGAAAAGAAAATAACCATGTTGCTTTGAACATTTTTGTTTGTCTTCAAATCCTTGTTTTTTAATCAACGATCTAAAAAATGAAAGGGTAAAAAAATACAGAAAGAAGAAAAGAAGAAGAAGAAGAAGAAGAAGAAAAATAAGAAGAAAACAAGAAGAAAAAAATTTTCTACGAGAAAATGCACGGAAAAGTCGTTATCAAATACATAATCAAGTAGAAAAAGAAAGGAAGAATAAAAAAAAAAGGGTGAGAGAGAGTGAAAGAGCAATCCATCATCAGCGCTTTGGGAAACGTGTCCTCGTTTCCGTAATTTTGAGCTCTACTCTTAAACAGAGCTGAGCTTCCGCATTCAGAGAGTATTTTTTTTCCCTTCTTTCTCTCCCTCTTTTTCTAAATCTTTCCTTTTTCTTTTTCTTTTCTCTTTTTTTTTTTATCAAACCAAAGCTCAACTCTTTCTATAGACTACGAACGCTACTCGCGTATAGATCTTAATCCGTTAAAAAAAAAAAAAAGAAAAAAGAAAAAGAAAGGTAATACATAAAAAAAAGGGAAAGAAACGAAGAAAAATAGATCTACTCGAGTAAATTTCGCTAAAGGGTAGGTAGGGTAGGTTCTCATTAAAAATGAATTGAATCCTTCGTAATTGCTATTCCAGCTTGGTGATAATCACAATGGTACGTCGTTGGTGTGCATGCACTGTGTGTGTGTGTGTGTGTGCCAAGATTTTTATATTTTTCTCTCTATTAAGTATTAGACCAAAATTAACCCCTTGAGAGAAGAAAAAAGAAAAAGAAAGAAAAAACGTAGGAGAGAAAGAGAAAAAGAAAGAGAGTTTTTGGAATTAATTAAACATCAAAAACTAAGAAATAATAATGTCAAATAATATTACGAATAAAAACACCTGTTTTCTATATAAAATTAAATCATATATCAATGTGAAAGAACTTAGAACGTTCTTGTATAATAAATCGACCATGATTTCTTTGAATAAAGTAAAGACACAATTCTTTACATATGAGTACTAAATAAATAAATAAAAAAGATAAAAGAGCTAAAAGGAAGAGCATGTTACTCGGTGTCGCGAGTCTGCTTGGATTTCTCAGCAGTGTGTTATTGATCTAGCTTGAACACGAACTAGTGGCTTCGCCATTGCTACTGGTAGCCAGGCAAGGCATATCGGCTGTTTCGCAGCCGCATAAAGGACGTCTGTTAAAGTTGGGTGTGTCCAAAGCAAAAAGGGAGCGAGAACAGGAGACGATGTTGATGATAATACCTTGAGAAAGTTAATCGTATCTTGATCTTAAGTTTCACGTACACGTAAGAATGTACGCATGCACGTAAGCACGCACATGCACATACACATGGACATGCACGCACACAGAGAGACTAACCTCGTATCAGATGTAGCGTGGTCACGACATAGGAGAGGACAATTGTACAGTCATTATATGATGTCTCTTGAAACACGTACACGTACACGATTTTTCGATTAGAAGATCTTGATTGATGTCAAATTATTATTATTATTATTTAGTAATATGTGTTGCGCTTCTATTGATGAATAATAGTCTTCTATAAGTAGTTACAGACGTGACAGATTCTTCGTTAGCGATGACGTTTTATTCTGGAGGAAACGAAGAGAAAAAAAGGGTGAGATTAGATAACAATCAAACTTATCAATAAAAACCAGTAATTGAGTAACCGAAACAAAGATAAAAAATGATAGAAACAAAGTAAGAAAGAAATAAAGGGAGAAAGAGAAAGAGAGAATTGTTCGAGGGTTGTAAAAGCGAATAAAACGAACGACGGATCCTTGCGGTGATCCGCAGGGTGGCGCGTACGACTGGCTCCGTTCGTCGACTGACGTGCCGAAAAATGAGAGAGACGGAAAGCGCTGTGTCGGCAGCGGGAACGATAGAGAGGGAGCCACGAAACACGGTGGTTGTAATATACAAGCATACAAGTGTATATATGTGCTTGCTTTTACTCCCTTTGCACATCCTACCCTTTTGCATTAGTCTTCTTTTCATATATTTACAAATACATTTATATATATATATATA